CTACAACGTTTGCTCTCTCAGCCCTCACCCATGCCCTGCCACCTGGCCTCACGAAGGAACAACACGGACAGAGACCCCCAGGCTGGACGTGCACGTCTCCCAAGGCCAAGCCCCGTGAAGGGCGATGCGCCACCTCTTCCACCGAGTCCTCAGGCCCGGGCAGCCCCAGGTCCCTCCCGGCCCGGGGAGCGTGGGGCGGCGGGCACAGAGCAGCTCCCGCACGCCGGGCACGGTGGGTGTTGCAGGCCTAACCGGGCACCTTGAACTCATCCGAGATCTCCGACATGAAGGACGAGATCTGCTTCATGAGGCGGTCGATGCTGCTCTCGCTGCCGGTCTTGAGGAGCGTGGTGATGGCCAGCGTCGCGATGCTGCGGTTTGAATCTGTAACCAAGTTCTCCAGGTCCAGATTGCAGGCGGTCACTGCTGACGGGTGCTTCATGGCCACCTGTTTTGGGAGAACAGAACAGAGATACAAAGGGACTTCTGTCATTCCGCTGGATGGCTCCGGCCTGCGCGGAGGCCCTTAGGCTGGGCTCACCGCACCATCTTGCGGAAAGCAACCGTGATCAGTGCTGCAGCTTCAGTACAGGCCCCGAGGCGCCTCCAGCTGGGATCAGGCCACCTCCCCAACCCCCTCAGAAGGCCAGGCTCTCCTCGTGCCCACCCCTAAGCTCTCACCTTATTGAGGGTGCGGACAGCAGCATAGCGGAGAGCGGCCTTGGGGGAGCTGCAGAAGAGCTGGAGCACTGTGCAGGGAGACATGCGAGTGTCAGGCTTCCCTCGCCGCTTGGCAGCTGGGGCAGCTCTGGCCTCCAGGGAAGGGACAGGCAAGGCACCAGGCGGGGGCGGGGGAATGTGAGGGCTGCTCGGACCCAAACCCTCCGCTCGGCTCCTTTCCCTGCTGTCACCCTCACCCCAGCCAAGGAAAAGAGCTCATAAGCAGAGAGCCTTCAATATGCTTACGAGAGCCCGGTGGGTCCCATGAATGGCAGCCACTGCTCACCGAGCGCCCGCTCTGCACCAGACGCTGTGCTAAGCAGCCGTGGTGCCCCATCTCACTGATGTCTCACAACCCCACGAGGGAGCTAGTACTATGATCCCTGTTTCACAGATGCGAAGACTGAGGCCCACGGGGTAAAACTACTCCCGTAACTCTGCACCAGCTACCAGTAAATGGCAGAACCGGGATTCAAATCCAGGACTGCCCACACCTGAAGCCTGAGCCCATTAACCCGAAGTAAAGCTCTGCTCCTGTCTCCTGGGGCGTGTACGGAATCCTGAAGAACTACCTCGGTCCTGCCTCAGACAGCTGCCCTGGTTCCTACGATCCACGGCTGCAGGTCGGCAGAGCCCTCCCTGTGCTTGGGCTGCAGGGAAGCCAGGACTGGCACCCAGGCTATCGGGCTCCGGTATCCCGGCTCTGAATGGCCCCTCTGAACTGCCTTCTCCTTGGCCCGAGACTGCTTGGCCCCTAGCGAGCGTGTCCTGGTTTCATAAGTTCTGGGTTCTTCCACCAGGGCCTCCTGCCATCACTGGCCAGCCCAGCGGGCTGCAGAATGGATCCGAACCCCACCTCTGCCTCCCGCCGGAGCCCCAGCCTCTTTCATGCGACGATGGAACCCACAGGACCCAAACACAACGAATGCGCGAGACCCTGGCACCAAGCTGGTACTTTCTAGGTTCCGATGCCTTTTCTTAACACCCGCCATGGCCTATCATCTGACGGCATTTTCTTTTCTTTCGTCCCTCCAACGCCCAGCCCAGGGCCCGGAGCCCAGCAGGCCCGAATGGGTGGGGGTGGGAGTGGGGCGGGGGCGAGGGGAGGTGCGCGTGTCACCTGACACCGCCGGGGCCAGCTCTTTGGCGCTGCAGCCGGGCAGGTTGACGATGGCCGAGGCGGCTTCGTACACCACCATCTCGTGCTTGTTGCGCAAGCAGCTCTCAATGAAGTCGAACAGCGGGCTGTCGCGGCTACAAAACGACACGGTGGCAAGAAGCTGGGGGTGGCCCCGCACTGAAGAAGGCATCGTCCGACCCAGGGAGGCTGGGGCCAGTACCTGCCATCTTCTTCCTCCAGCTGTTTGCTGGCCACGCGGATCATCATGCAGTAGGCGAAGGGGGACTTGAGGCCGTGCCGGGTGAACTTGCTGATCATCTTACTGACGGCCAGGCGGTCGCTCTTCCGCACGTGGTACAGGAGCCCCAGAGCGTGGTACTAGAGAGCGGGAGACCGGGCAGAGGACAGTGTATGAGCCCAGGTCCACCAGCCGCGTGGCCCTCGGCAGGCCCCTGCACCTCTCCGGGCTTCCGCCCTCTCGTTTCTAGGACGGGCGTCACGGCAGCCGCCTCAGAGTGGCTGTGACAATCTCCCCAGATGCTCTGGACAGACGGCCCCTGGCACGGGCCTCAACTAACCACGAGTGTTACGTGAGGTCTAGCTCCTGCCCCCGGTTCCCCCAAGGGACCCGACAGGCATCATGAGCGCAGATGTGGCGGGGACAACAGAGGCCACCCGATGAAAGAATGGGAGAAGACCAGGCGTCTGTCGACGAGAGAAAGTGGGGGCCAGGCCCCGAGCGTGGACAGGTGGTGTAAAGTGTCAACCTCACCACGCCCCCGAAGGTAGATATTCTGAGTCTTGCTGACCTGCCCAAGGACACGTGGCTGGTCCTGGCAAAGCCAGGTCTGGAGGGCCCAAAGTCAAGGGATTACCCTTCTGGAGGTAGAAGGTGCACAGAGTTATTTCCTGTCCCCTCTGCTCTGTTTCTTTACCAGGGTGGCATTCAAGGGCTAAGTCAGGAGGCCGTGGGTGCCTTGTATGGGAGAGCCTTCTCTGACACTGGGAAATACCTCGAGGGGCCACAGCCGGCCCTGGAGACGAGAATCAGCACAAGGGGTGAGGAGAAAGAGAACAAATAAGCACACAGGGGGCGCCTACAGGTATGCACCTGACAGGCCAGATATTCTAGATGCTCTTTGGTATTCTCTTCACAGCTCAGTGAGGCAGAAACGTCCATTCCCATTTTACAGACCAGGAGACGGACACTTACAGAGGTAAAAGGAATTTCTAGTCTAGCTCACTGAAAAAGCGTTAAGGAGCTGAAAGCCCCACCAAGGTATTTACATGCATCACTCAAAGAGCCAGCTCGGCAAAGGCTCTCTGGCTTCCCCGGGCCAGGTCTGCCATATCCCATGCCCCGAAACACGACTCAGCTGGTTATCGTACTTGAATGTTTTAGTTCCACCGGATAAGCAGCCCCTGACTTAAACCGCCCCAAGTGGTCCCCTGGATTGTCTCCCCAAGCATCCCCACAATCCGGTGACAAAAGATTATTAAAGCCTGCTCCCGCTAGGGGACCCCAGCATCTCCAGGGGAGCTCCATTTCTGCCTCGCCAGGCCTAGGTCCCGTGCGGAAGAAGTGGAAGTACCACTGCTCTGCTAGCGCCTCACCTGGACCATGATGTTATCACTGGATGCCGCCTCCTGCGCCTCGTTCACCCAGCGCTTGACCACGTCGAAGCTGCACTTCAGGAGGTGCTGTGGGCAGCGGAGCACAGTAAGAGGCAGGCAGGCAGTCCCACCCCCGCCCCGCGTCCAGGCCGCGACTCGCGGTTCAGTCCCGACACGGCCCAGCGCCTCTCCGTCATGACATCGTGACGTCTGACGTGGCGCCCGAGGACGGCTCCCCCCCGCTGCCCTGGCGGCAGATCCCCCACCAGGCCCAAACTCCCACAGTGTGTCACCCCAAGGGAGGGGTCGGGAGTTCCCCGGGCGCTCTTCACTGAGCAGGTGGGTGGGACTCTCAGATCCGGGGAGGGACACAGAAATGCTTTCTCTTTCCCACTGAAGAGCAAGTCTGATAGTTTCTTCAGGGTCCCAATCTGCTGCCCCACGCCCCCCGGGGTCCCCAGCTGCGTACCAGGGAAGACACCAGGGCAGAGCTGGAGACGCTGGGCACCTTGTCCACGATGGCCTGTTTCATGTAGCGCTCAATAGCCTGCAGCATGGTGCTCTGGGGGACAGGGGTGCGGCGGACGGGGGCCCAATCACTCTTTGGCAAGCGTCAGGAGTGCAGGTGGGGAAGAGCGAGGGCACGCGGGAAGGAGGCGCACCTGTCTCTCCTGCTCCCCACCCCCACCCCCACCCGGCCTGGGTCTGTGCCTTGCTCAGGAGGCACGGACGACCTGGCTGAGCCTGGCGGAGGAGCAGGGAGGGAGCAGCGCGCGTAGCGGAGGCAGCAGACTCACATCGGTGATCTGGCAGAGGGCGCGCACAGCCGGCCCGCGGTAGTTGTCTTCCTTCCCAGTCATGTCCTTCGTCAGGCTGCGGGAAGGCGAGGCGCTGTCCGCACGCAGGGGCCCAGCCTGCCCTCCCCAGGCCCCTGACTCCTCCCTAGCTCGTCACCCACCCCCCTCGTCTGGACTACTGCACAGTCTAACTGGTGCTCTTGCTGTATTCTTACGCTTCCCCGGTCAACCCCCAAGCAGCGACCAGAGATTTTTATAAGACTCTAAAGTGGGGCATCTGGATGGTTCAGTCGTGAGGCATCTCACTTCAGCTCAGGTCACGATCTCACGGTGGGTAAGCCCGAGCCCTGCTTTGGGTGAGCTCGAGCCCCGCTTTGGGTGAGCCCCCCCCCACCTCCCTCTGCCCCTCGTGGGATTCTCTCTCTCCCTCTCGGTCCCTCTCCCACTTGTGACCCCCCCCCCAAATCAATTAACCTCCAAACTGACCAGGTCTCTCCCCTGCTTGGAATAAAACATTCCCACGGCTTCCCACTGCCCTTTCAGCATAAACTCCTTAACAGAGAGGTGCCCAAATACGCCATGCTCGCTCCTCTCCTGGCCTTGACGTAAGCTATTCCGTCAGCCTGGAGCGCCCTGGCTCTCTCCACCTCTGTCCTGCCCTTATCTTTCTTTTTTAATAAATTTTTGAAAGAGATTAATTTTTCAGTGGCTTCTTTCATCCCTCTTCTTCCTTTTTTTGTTTTTTTGGAAAAAACATGGAACACTTCCCAAATTTGCCCGTGATCCTCGTGCAAGGGCCGTGCTAATCTTCTCTGTGTTGCTCCAATTTTCGCATACGTGCTGCCGAGGCGAGCACTGTCCCGCTGTCCCCTGCTCAGCCTTCAGCGTTTTGCTCAGACAGGTCTAGGGGGCCTTTCCTGACCCATACCCAAGTTGGATATCCTTCCGGTCTGTTCTCCTGGCCTATCATACCTCCCATGACAAACTCTGTTATATCCTAACGCCCGTCTGCTCGGCTGTTTCTCTGGGGCTGTGGAGGCCACGTCTACCTCACTCGCCGCTACATTCCCAGCGGTATACACGACTGGTAGACGTTCAATCAGTATTTTCTCAACCAACCTACAACGGGATGTCTCCCCAGCCCCCACAGACCGTGGCCAGAAGAGAACTGAGCTCCAGTACTTAAGGTCAGGGTCCTATCTTAGTCACACTTTTCCCATGAATAACTCAGTCTGTTATTCATGGGAATAAATAACATTTATTTATTTATTTATTCCCACATTCTCTGTTTTTCTTGCGTTCTCTCTCGGCACTCACTAAAGTCCGAGTGAAAGCTGGCTCTGTTGACTGAGCAGATTCAAGGCAAGGAAGGGTTTGTGCCACAGGTAAGGCTAGGGAGACCGCACACTCTAGAGCCTGCCACAGAGCGGGGAACAGAGACTGAAAGGTGAGGGAGACCAAAGAGGAAAGGGCGCCTGACGTTACGTTAAACAAAAGTCTCATGAGTAAAAACAACCTCTGTGTTAATGGCACCCGTGAAAGGAGCCATCCGCGGACCCCAAAACTCACCTGCTGGTAACGATAATGACGTCCTCGGCGATGCCCGACATCTCCTTGATGGTCAAGTAGCACATCCGACGGAGGGTGGGCTGGGAAAGAGACAGGAAAAGCCCTGTGACCCCTGACTCAACAGGAGGGCCAAGGCTGGGAAGACTCCAACCCCCGCAAAGGTAGACTGTGCCGACTGCGGGCACTTACGTCGTTGGACTGAAAGAGCTTGGTCATGGCAAAGAAGGCCTCGGTTGCTTCCGTGGTCCCTAGGTGCTCCCCCTGTTTCAATCAAAAAAGAAGTCTCAGCCGGGGACGGAGGGGCCAGAAGGCTCTTCTTGCCAGATCTGCCCAGGCCACATCCTCAGACCCTGCAGAGGCTCCATCAAGGGCAACACATCACAGTTAGACCCTGAGGGGGCCCAGAGCGGGGCTACCCCCATACAGGAGCCCTCAAATACCCTCAGGGCTATCTGACTTATGCAACCCCCCCCCCCCCACCAACTCCCAGCGCCATTTTCCCTACCCCCAAGCTTCATTCTCTTACCTGGTTTATGAGGTAAAGGATCTTGGTGAGGATGTGGGCACATTTTCGAGGGTTGATGGGCGTTTCATTAAATACCCGGGCCTAGAATGAAGGAAGCAAGAACATTACCTTCTGGACTGGTTTATTTCCCTTCCATTGACTGCCCCTCAGGCAGACCTCAAGGCCTGAAAAGCCCCAGGGTAAATACAGACATTTGCCTGGATACGCTTATTTTCACAAAGGAAGGTTTGTTTTGCCTGTTCCCTAATTCATCTATTAATAACTCCTGAAATCTGCCCTAAATATTAGGGATACGCCCATTTACTAACAGGTACTTAGTGAACACTTGTTACCTAGAAAGAGAACCACAAAACAGCAGCGATAATTGCAAGCCCGCTGAACCCGCTTTCCAGGAACAAGTGTTCTCCCCCCTTGTCCTGTAAACCACCCCCTTGAACGTGTTTGTATCTTGAGCACGTTGACTGTGAAGACTCAGGACGGCGGACGACAAATGACACTTGCCTCCTGGAGGACCGCACTCTTCTCCAGATGCTGGAATGGGTTGGAGCCTCCACCTGAAGTGGGAGAACACAGAAGAGCGACTATAGGCTGTAAGCCCGAGGTGCATAGACAGAGACACAGAGAAGGGAAAGATGCCGCTACTGTCCGCCGAGTCAAGTTCAAACTACTCCAGGAGGGCACTCAAAGGTCCTACGGCTCCACCTCCAACCCCTTACTTAAGTCACCTAGCAACCCTGGTACCGCCCTTCTGTGCCTCTAGTAGCATGGTAGCATCGTATCTTGCGTTCATTTATGCAACTTGGACTTAACCGAATCCCTACGACGCGTGGGGACCACCATCCAGTGACTAGGATTTCTTCACAGCAAATGTCACTTTGTAGTTAATTACACGTGTCATTTTCTGGTTGACATCTCTCTTCTCCACCTCGCCTGTGACCATTTTAATCTTCCCAGCTCAGGCGCTGGGTGTCTCATTTGTTCTGCCAAAGTATCAGGGCGCAGTGCAGTGCCTGGGATACAGTAAGCGCTCACTACGTGTCTGCTGAGTCGCTAACTTAAAGAGGGTTCTCAGCGCAGAACCCTGGCTCCACAGATTACGCCCCACTTTGGCCAGTAGCGACGCGGCCCGGCGAATCCCAAGAGGTCGCACCGAGAAAGTCACAACGGTGCATCTGGCCCGGCCCCTTCTCCTGACAGCGGGGGAAACTGAGGCCCACAGAGAAGAGTGACCCTCCCAAGGTCACCTAGCGAATCGCGGTCGGCGCCTCCGGAGTGGCGGCGGCGGGGCACGCTCGGCTCCCCGAGGCCCGCCTCTGACCAGCTCCGGGCCTGGCACAGCCCCTGCCCCGCACGGGGTCTCGGCTTCAGGTCTAAGCAGAGGCCCCGAAGGAGGCGCCCCAGGAGGACGCAGAGAGCCTGTGGGAGCGTCCAGCCTCCCCCAGGCCTACGCCGTCTCACCCGATTCCTCGTCTTTCTTGTCGAATTTCTTCAGCATGGCGGTGCCGGCGGGGCCCGAAGCAGCAGCCTTGCGCTAGCCCGGGGCAGCGAGCGGCGGCTGTCCGGCGGCGGTTCCGCAGAGACCACTTCCGGTCGGCCACGTCGTCCGGACCTCTGCGCAAGCGCAATGCGCGCCCTGCGCATGCGCACACCCTCCGGCGCTGCGCCCGGCGTTAACCATTTCCCTGCCGGGGCGGGGCGTGCCCAGGGCTGGGAGTCGAGGGGGAAGGGCGGAGGCTTTAGACTCGGGGCTGACCTGCCCCCCAACTCTGCACCGTACGTGCTCCTTATCTGGGTAATGGGAGCAGTCGTCGCGGCTCACTGCGTCGTGCCGTTATTTTACACGGGCTTTCGCAGGTGAGGTCCTCGCCAGACCCCAAATGTTCCTGGGACTTTCACCTTCTCAGGGCGGCTTCGCTTTGTTTCCGTACCTTGCCCGATTTTTCTCCCCGGCGCGAGCCACCATCTAACACACCGAGTTTTTGCTTTGTCGCTTTTATTGCCTTTTATTCACTGTCGTGGTTCGTGTCGGCATACAGCAGGTGCTCAAGGCAATTCTTGTTCCCTGAATGAATGCATGAACTTTCTCTTAAAATCCCTTCCTGTCCGCCCTCCCGCACCGCCCGCCGCGGCCCATCCTGTGCAGGCTGTCTCGCACTTTATTAACGTCCAGGGATCGAGAGTAAAAAACCAGCGTAGGAACGTCAACGCGCTTTGAAGATACTTGGGATGTGTATCGAGCGCCGACTGGATGCGCCGCCGCAGCGCCGGAGGCAGGAATGGGCACAACGGGGACCGAAACGCCGCCCGCCGTCGGGCTTCCTGGGCCCCCGCGCGGGACGCCCCGAAGCGCAGGTGAGGGTGGCCGCCGGCGTGCCCAGCTGCGCGTGCGACGGGGTGGCCGAGGGCTGCGACGCGCGGCTCGCCGGGGGGGGCGGGGGGGGGAGGGCAGACGAGCCGCGGGAGTCGGGGTTCCCCGGCGGGGCGCGGTGACAGCTTCGCGGGGGGAGGGGGGCAGCCTCTCGGGTCTGGCTCCGCGGAGCCTGAGCCTGGGGGCCTGGGGGTCGCAGCGGGGGCTCTCGCGCCAGGGTGACCTTGTTACGAGCCGGAAAGACGTTCGGAATCCCTAACCAGCAACCCCACCCTCACCTGGTGGAAAGCAGCCCCAGGAGATAAAGCTGCCCGCTGCAGCAGCGCGCAGCTGGGAACCTTCTAGATGGCCAGCAAACAGGCGGCCGTTAAGGGGGTGATGGCACATCTATCAGATGGAATATTCCACACCCTCTGTAAAGCAATACTTCTGACGACTTGGGAGGCGATAGGCTAAAATGCCCTTGTATGTTTTAATATTAATTCTGTAAAACTATATACCAAGGCCTAAATGTACAATTGTTACAAATACATTTCTGAGAATGAGGATTTAGGCGGTGGGCTTATGTATATATATAATTGTATGGGCTCTAAATCTGGGCTTCTAAATAAAATTGTAGGGTTTTGATTATTTTTAAATATTTGTGTGTGTTTTTATTTATTTATTTATTTTTACAAATAGTTTATTGTCAAGTTGGTCTCCATATAACACCCGGTGCTCATCCCCACAAGTGCCCTCCTCCATGCCCATCTCCCCCTCCACCCCCCAGCCATCAGCCCTCAGTTTGTTTCTCAGCATTCAAGAGTCTCTCATGGTTTGCCTCCCTCCCCCTCCCCCCCATTCCCCCCCCTTCTCCCCCATGGTCCTCAGTTAAGTTTGATTATTTTTAAACATTAACATGCATTCTTCGTGATAATTGCTAAGTCCTTTATGGAAACACAGAATACTGTAAGTACAAGAGAAACAATGCATAAAGTTGGTAGATTGTACTGATATTCAATACACCGGTTGTGATACTATGTTTTATTAATTTTACTAGCTTAAAAAAATTGAGCTTTTAAGTATACGATTTTTGGTTTAGTGTATTCAAAGAGCTGTGTGCCCATCGCCGCTAACGGCAGACCTCGCTCCTAAAAGAAGCTGGTATCTCTTAGTAGCCGTTCTGCATTCCTCACTCCCCTCCCTTCCCCACTATTAATCTACTTTCCGTCTCAGTGGATTTTCCGCCGCTGGACATTTCATATAAATGGAATCATACACCATGTAGCCTTTTGTGTATCTGGCTTCTTTTGCTTCGCATAAGGTTTTCAAAGTTCAGCCACATCGTAGCCTGAATCAGTACTTCATTCTTTTTTTTTTTTAATATTTTTATTTATTTCTAGGAGAGAGAGAG